TGGAAATGTTAGAAATCCGTGTCAGGTCAGTAATTGAGTATCCGTTTTTTCCATCCCAGGCGCAATCATGCAAACACAAAAATCAAAGTTTAAACCAAAAAAACATACACCAAGATCCAGCAAGAAATACAATGTCCTGTTTCGTAAGATTTTCACAAAACTGATTGGTATATTATTTATTTGTTAAACCTACTTTTTATTTGTTCTGGCATACGGAACTCCTAATGAATTGAGCTTCATAGGAATAACGCTTTCAGAAGAAATAGACCACCAACCCAGCGTACAAGCCACCACACAAACAGACAGACCGTATGAGATCCGAACGTGGAATGGATAATCCCATAACATGCTCTGGTACGCCCGAAAAGAACCTTCTCCCATGGAATTCATTCTGCCAGCAATCTACTGAAAATCAGACTCAGTAACAAAAACTATAAATCGAATCCCCCCTGGTTGTTCTTCAGTGTTGAGTAAAAGCTAGATCATTATGAATATAAACGTTTGAAGATCACTGGTCACCAAGCACAAACAAGTGGTACATGATAAAACGAATGCTCCACTTAGAAAATACCATTTAACTGGTGTGACTATTCTTTCTGGGTTACCGTACGCGGTTTTGCAACAGAGGCATACGGATTGTGACTACCGATTCCGAGGATAGTTGTTCGAGCCCTATTGAGTACAGGAAACTGCAACCCTTAAAAGATGAGCTATTCATTGTCGGTTTGGAGAATAAACTCTTGTGATAATCGCAACTAAATTACTGCATTTCATTCCGTTATAATATCTCCCTTAATGTAAGTTGATTCCTCTAATTATTTGTTTTTTCGTGTATTCTACAGAAATGTAGTCAAGGCGGTCATGCATTGTCTATTTACAACCTACCTTAACAAATTCTCTCATTGTCGATGAATATTGTCTATTTGATGAAACCTGTTGCATCAGAACAAAAGTCCGAAGGCGAACAATTGTTTTCGAATGATTCACAATCGTGCCTGTACAGATCATATACGGGTTTGTTGTTAGTGGGGACACATTTTCACGCTGGGTCAAAGGGTCATTTGGGATGAGGAGAGGAGAGGGGAGAGGTAAGCTTTATGTGTCTGTGTTCGGGTGAGACTGATTGTGATTGGAGTGGTGGTGGTGATGTTGATGATCAATTTGGGGCCAGGGTAAGTGGAGAGCTTGAACCAGTCGCTTTTGTGCACATGGTTCTGGTGCGAATAGGCGAATGCCTATCGCCTCAGCGGTGGCTAGTGTATGTAAGCGCACTGCTTTGGAGGGGTTGAGGGGTACACGATAGATTACGTTGAAAGCCGATTCCGGTCTAATTTGATGACCTGTATCTACTAGATGACCAAGAATGGCACTTCCTATGCTTCCTGTTCCTCCTTGTTTTAACCAACGTGGGCAGTGCTCCTTCATCCGTTGGGATAGTTGCCTCGCCGTGCGGCCAATGTACGTTGCATTACAAACGCACCGGAAAGAGTAGATAACCATGGAAGTGGCCAGCGTAGGCAGT